TGGGCAGCCATCCCTGGCCCCCCCTACAATGTCCTGGCAGGGAGGGACTGTCCCTGTCCCCAAGGAAGTGCCTGCACAGGAGGAAGGGCTGGGGAACAGCACTGTCCCAGCCCTGCTTCCGCCAACCCACTCTACGACACAGCCTGGCCATGGGGATGGCCACAGCGCACGACCGCTCCCTGAGCCTGGAGCAGAGCACAAAGACCCCCAGTGCCAAGCCCTGCTCCAGTCACTCTCGTGCCTCAGTTTCCCCAGCAAATTACATGCCCGAGCTCATCAAGAGAGCAGCCCTGGATAATATAAAAGGCATTTGGTGCTCAGTTTTTGGAGAGCCAAGTCCACACGCTGGCAGTCCCCAGAGCTAAGGCACCTAGGTGGCTGACAGATGTTCCCATGCCGCTTGGTTCCCACTCATGCCAGCCAAGGAGCTAATTCATTTGTGGGAAGGAAGTACCCTCCATGGGTGCTCCAGAGTCCCAAGCCCCCAGACTCTGAACCCCAGGGACACCCACAGCCCCAAGCTGCTCTGTCCCAGCACTGGGTCACAGCCAACTGTGGTTTTGGCAGCTGCAGGCGATGCTCTCGCTCTTTCCATCAGCAAATGCCGGGCCCTCGGTGGCTCCTCCAGCATTTGCATCGAGGCTTTGTGCACCCCAAGCAAAGTCTTTTCCCATCCCTTCCTCTCCCTCCCCATCCTCTGCGCCGTGCCGGGGTGTCAGACCCTTACCTGCCCTGTCCCAGGGTGGGAAACCTCCTGCCCACCGCTGTCATCGGCTCAGCCAGCGTCTCAGCTCCGGGATGGGGAGAGAAGCTCTGCGGGCGCTCCCGTGCCTGGCTCTGAGCCGGGACGTGGGGCGCGGGCGGTGGCGGACCCTCCTCCTTCCCGTCCCAGCCCTCCTCCGGCCCTCCCTTCGCGGCCGGCAGGAATGTGAGGCCGGTTCCCACCGCCGGCACGAATTCCTTTTCCTTGCCCCGATCCCGGCGCCGTGCAAAACCCCCCAGATGTCAGTGTGTGCCTCATTGGTGCGGAGTTAGAGGGAATTTGGGGCCAAAATGGGGATTATGGGGATAAGAACAGGGCTGGTGCGATGGGACTTTGTTACTGGGGGCAATCCGGCATTTCTCACCGGTGCCCCTCAGTTCCATGCATGTTTGGGCTGGGATGACTTTGATCCCTGTGCCCAGCTGATGGATGGGGCTAAAATTCGTATTGTTGGTTTTGAAGTCCAAAGCCTCTAAACAAGCCAACCCTCTTGAGGGTCTGTGAGGGCTGAGGTCCCCAAAACCTAGGGAGGGGTTTCACTGGCAGGCAGGGGGAATGGAGCCAGGGTGACTGGGTTTCAGGATTGCCTCTGTGCCTTGACAGAGGAGAGGAAAGAATGGAAGTGGGAAGTGAAGGACGACTGGGACGGGTCAGTGCAGGTTGCAGATCTCTGCAGTGAGCCCTAGTGCTGGGACAGAGCTGCTGGCAGGACAAAGGGACACCCGTGCCGAGCGGGGCCAAGCGGTGTTTCCACCCCATCCGGAAATGGGAGGGAGCAGAAATCCCACAGGAAACCCTGCTCTCATAGAGAGGGGCCACAGTGTGCTAGGGTCATGCTGTCCTGGTGGCCAGGTGCATCCCGTGGGGATCCTGCTGTGTCCCAGCCCCTTGTCCTACCCAAGCAGTATGAACTGGACAGAGCAAAGCCAATAAAGCCATACCTGTCCAGGGAGCTGTGGCTGGGGTGTTCTTGCCCCTTTTCCTGGAAGTTCCCATCCTTGGTCTCTGCTTCGGTTGCTGCATTGGGGCTGGGGGCCAGGCTGGGGCTCGGTGCCTCCATCCCAGGGCAGGGGCTGTTGCCCGGGGTTTCTTGGTCTGTGCTGGCTTTTTCTGCCCCTGGGGAGCCTGAGGGCAGAGCTTCCTCCTTCTCCTGCTCTGCTTTTCCAGAGACTGAGGACGGATCTTTTCCAAGCTTTAGTGTGCCAGGCATTTTCAGAGTCTTGGGGATAGGCAGTGCAGCTGTGCTGGGTATCTTGTCCCTGGATTTCCCTTTCTCTCGGCAGCTCTGGGTACCCCTGGCTTTGCCCAGGCTCTTCCCTGCCTTGCCCAAGCTGAGCCTGGGCATGGTGCCCATGTGGCTGTACATGTCTGATGAGCGTGCATAGGCACCAGGGCTCTTGGGCATGGTGTTGAGATCATCCTGGGTGCTGCTGAAGGACTCTTCCAGGAAGCCCTGGGGAGGAGGCAGACCCATGCCCAGGCTCTCAGGAGAGCTGGGGACCACTGACACGCGCCGTAGAGTGAAGGAACGGGGAATGTTGCTCAGGCTTTCAAAGCCTTTGAACTTGAAAAACTCTGACAAGGAGAAAGGAGAGAGGAAGGGGATCAGAGCTGGGCACAGGCACCACACCACTGTACAGCCTGGTGCCAGCCCAGCTGCACCATGCATTGCTGGTCCCACCCAGTGTGATGTCCCCATGGGCTGGGGCAGTGCTGCTCAGAGTGCCAGATCCAGGACAAACATCCTGTGCTGCCATGAGTAAGACAGTGGTTGTGTTTCCCTACTGTTGCTGTAGTGATGGAGGAGAAAACGCTCGGCCTCAGTGAGCAGGGAATGGAGAAAGCCAGAAATGTCTCCGAATCTCTTCATCCTGCTCTTGCCCCATGCTCTCCTGGAGATGATCCAGGCAGGGCCCCCTCCAGGGTGAGAATTGGGACACGCTGCATTTCCCCATGGTGCTGGGGTTCAGTGGTTGTACCTCGTGTTCATGCTGTCAGGCACAGAGCAGGAACTGGCCATCAGCTGGGCCCCGTGGTGTTCGTGCAGCAGTGCCGGCTGTGGGCAGCCTCCTGCCTCCCCACTTCCTCGGCTCAGCCCCTCACAGCCTCCTTGCAGCTCCCTGTAGCCACCTGCAAGTGCTGAGCTCGCAGCGTTCACTGCAGGAGTATTTATAACCCTGACGGGAAGCTCTGCATTTCACACCTCGGTGCTGTGTGCTGCTGTGGTGCATCCCCAGTGACAGCACATGGGGCAAACTGGGCTGCAGCCACTGCTCTGCACAGCAGCGCTGCACAGCTGGAGGCCTGGTGCTCTGGGTGCCTCGGGGGTTTTGCAACGCTTACACAGCAGGGCTCTGTGCAAAGCCTCTTCCCCTCCAGGTTTGCAGGGGCAGGAAGCTGTGTGCTGCAGTAGTACCATGCTAGGAGCCTAGGTGCTGGGGTCCCACATCCTACACAGTCTGCAGGGTGCCCCTGCTGCCAAACGGGGCAAAGGGGCTGCTGAAATCCAGAAGCACTCCTGCACAGCCAAAACCTCATGACCTGGACTCTGTTAATGACAAAACTGCTTTAGGTTAAACATCCCCTCAGTGTCCGAGCATCCTCTGCATCTGGGACTGCTGCTGGGTGGGAAAGCTGGGGGCCTTCCCCATTTTCCCCGCATTCCACCACAATGGAAAATCCCAGCTTGGCCGGGGCCGTGGGAGATGGGTTTTGCTCAGTTCCTCACACAGCTCCCGGGGGAGCACAGGGGTCGGCCTCCTGCCGGCGCCGGCATCAGCACATGGAGGCAGAGGAATGCGGGGAGCAGCAGTGAAGGCAGGGTCCTGCTCAGTGCAGGGCTGGCGGCGTGCAGCACGCTGGAGACGCCTCCGAGGGCTTTGGGGAAAACCCAAGGTCTGTGAGAAAATCGCAGCTCCCTCCTGGTGGGCACCAGCACTTCCTCTGTGCTCAGCTCCCATTGCTTTGTCCCGAGTGCGGCTCCATCAGTGTGGATTTACCCCCCACCATCCACCCCATCCCTGTGCTGCAGGAAGGACACACAGAAGGTTCCTGGACAACCCCAGCTCCAGCTTGCAGCCCCAGCCATGCAGTGGAATAAATGCTCTCTGAGAGCTGTGATTTGGGGGATGACAGCAGTGGTTCACCCCTCTCACATGCTGGCACCCGGTGCAAGCAGACTGCTCCCAGTTCAACCCCAGCATCAGAGCCATCAGCACCAGACCTTGCTGCAGCTGTGGGAATGGAAGCCCCCAGAGCCTTCAGCAAGTTTCCTAACAAACTGAAGACTTCTTGCTTACGAGAGGTAACCATGCTCACACTCACACATCCCCTTCCCACCCAGGCAGCCCAGGTGAGCACCCAGCACCCACCCTCTCCATCCCGATATGACTTACTGAATTTCTTGAAGCCCCCTCGTTTCTGGCCCTCAGCCATGGCCGTGCTTGGTGGAGGCTGCAGGGATCGGGAGGGACAAGTTTATAAACTTGAAGCCTGTCCCTGCCTGCTCCTCCCTTCCTGTCCCCCCTCCGCCTCTCACTTTGCTCTCTCAATCACTCAGCGCTTCCTCCTCGCTGCTGCCATCTGCTCGCGTGGCAGCCGTTGTCCCCTGTGCTCCTGTCCCCTGTTGTCCCTGCAGTTCCCTCCTGGCTGATCAGGAGCCATCAATGGGACTATGCTTTAGGGCTGCTCCAGGATTGCTGTGTGCCGACCATAGAGCAGCATGGCAGCTCCATGGATGGAGGTCCCACATGCACATATGGGGCTCTGCCCCATGGCGGAGCCCCAGGACCCCACTGCACCGTGTGCTGGGGGAGCTGTGTTGCCTGTGTGAACATTTCTATGGGAGATGCTGTGGCCCAGACCTGGTGTCAGTCACTGGGCCTTGTCCCAGGAGCCACCTCCGTGTCCCTGCACAGCCGTGGCACTTCCTATGTGCTCCCTGCTTTTGGAAGCCAGCAGCCCCAAATGAGCCCCGGATTCTGCACGCGAACAGAGCAGGCAGGGGGATGTGCCTGTCTGCATTTGTTGCAGATTGTGTTGCACTGGGGCAGAGGCTGGGGGTCCCCTGCTGCCCACTGCTGAGCACAGCGGCGGTGACGCTCTGCTCCGGAGGCCGTGCTCTGAGATGAGTCACGGCGAGGGGACTCGGGCGGCGGCCCTAAGAGCGAAAGGTTTATCCGGGGTGACAACATGGCGACCGACGGCGGCCTACAAATCCCGGCAGGCAGCGCGGCGGCGCGCCGGAAGTAGCGTAGCGGGAGGGCGGAAGTGAGGGCGGCGGCCGGCATGGCCAAGCAGTACGACATGGTGGAGTGCCCGTTCTGCGATGAGGTTTCCAAGTACGAGAAGCTCGCCAAAATCGGGCAGGGAACCTTCGGGTGAGCGCTCCGGGACTTGGGGCCGCGCCCGGCGGCGCCTGGCTCCTCTCGGGCCTGTTCCCTGCGGCTCCTCCTCGTCCTGGGGCCCAGGCCGCGGTCTGACCCGGGGCCTTTGTGCCTGGGGCGGCCGGGCGGGGGGCTGCGGCCTCGTCCGCCTCCCTGCGGGGCCGTCCGTGCGGTCCTTTCCCTGCTCACGGGTCTCTTGCCGTTCTTACAGGGAAGTGTTCAAAGCCAAGCACCGACAGACGGGCAAAAAGGTGGCGCTGAAGAAGGTGTTGATGGAAAATGAGAAGGAGGGGGTAAGTGTGGGCGTGCGGCCGTGCTGTGCTTGGGAAAGGCGGGTTGGAGGGCTTGGGGAGGAGTGGCGGGCTTTGGAATGGCGGATTGGAGGGTGGTCTGTGTAACGTCAGCGTGTGTTCTTTAACTGTATTTACCGGTGTGACGTGCCAGGTCTTGAGTACACAGCGTGTGGGAGTGGGGCGGTTGTGCTGTGGTCAGTTGGGGCCGTGCTGTGCCCTCAGACGGGAAGGGAGGGCGGGTGTCTGCGTCACCAAACACCTCCACCTTGTGGCTGAATCCCTCTCCTAAAGGTGGTCTGATGACCAATGAGTTATGCCGGTGTCCCTGTAATATTTTGAAGTTTCAGTTGCTGTTAAATAAGTTGTTGCAGTGCTATTCCTGCTGTGCTGCAGCAGTCCAACCTCTCCTGTTCTCTAGGCAGATGTGAGCTGCACTCCTAACCCATGTCTTCTGCTTCTCCTTTCCAGTTCCCCATCACAGCTCTGCGAGAGATTAAAATCCTCCAGCTGCTCAAGCATGAGAATGTGGTGAACCTCATAGAAATCTGTAGGACCAAAGGTAGCTGGCGGGGTCTCCTTTCTGCTGGCTGCTTGCTGAGGGGGTGTCTGTTTTCAGTCTTCGTTCATGGCTGAGCAGGCTGCTGTGTTGCAGTGGGGGTGGATCTTCCAACTGAGCACGGGCTCAAGTCTTTAATCTGAGGTGATCACACGCTCATCTGCAGAAGCTCATTCGGAATGAACGCTACTGTGTTGCAGCTTGGCTGGACAAAGCTGTTGTCAGTGCTGCTGGAGCGTGCCTGTGCTATCACAGTGAACGCTGTGTGCTGTCTGAACGGCTCTAAATAAACCTGCAGCAGGAGAGAATTTGAAGCAGAGGATTTTCTGCCTGGTGGTGGTTTTGCAGCTTTATGGTGCTGATGCCATTGGGAGCAGGAGCCGTGCTTCTGCATGTGCTTACAGAGCTCGTGGAGCTTTGTGCTGGTGACAGCTCCAGCTGGAGACATGCTCAGCCTCTTGTTCTGTGCATGACAGAACCCCCCTGGCTTTGAGGGCTGGATTAGAAGTGCTGCAGCTTCACAGTGAGCGATTCAGTTGCTCTGTGCTGAGCTGCTGTTCCACCTCGTTGCTGCAGGCAGTCCCAGGGGAAGGCAGCACGTCTGCGGTGTGACTGGTGTGCCTAATGCACCTGGCCTGCCTCTGTTTCCAGGGAAATCATTTTATAGCATCTCCTCATTTTATATATCCTTCTCTTGTGTGGATTTCTTTTGAAAGTGACAGGTGTCCAAAAAAGCAGTTTTGAAAGTGACAGATGATTTTAAAGCCTGCCATGCTGTAGTCAGTCTTTTTGGTTAAATAAAATTGACAGCAGCACCTTTCTGCTGATGATGTTTTCTATGCTGAACTGGTAGCAACTTCAGGCCTAGGTCTGGGAACCTGGTGTTGCTCCATAGAATGTAGGTTACTGCCAGTTCTTGGAATCAGTAGGTATGAGGAAAAACACCACCACCGAGTTAATTTTTAATTCCTGATGTAATTAAACCAGTTGTGATGACTGCATGTTTCTGGCATGCCTACGATAAATATTTTTGTAGATGTGTCAAATCGTTTGGGTTTTCTTTAAATTCCAGTTTTCATCCAAATCTACTTTGACCTCAGTTTCAAGTGAAAAACAGAAATGTTTCATTTACTGTTCTCAGAGTTCAAGCTTTTCTCTCTTTATGTTGAAGAGGTGTTGTAAGGACTGCACCACTGTCAGGCCAGGGACCGTGTGTGCAATCTAGAAAGCATCCTCCAGGCATGCAGGGGGGAGCTCTGCATTCACTGTGCAGGCTGAGCTTAGCCCTCTGGCTGTTGTTGCTGATCAGCAGGTTTTGCTGTGCACAGCTGATGAAAATCAGCCTTTCATTTTGGTGTTTTGCACGTGTGCTCTAGGAACAAGATTGGAATTGATTGCTTCACTTGAGGTTTCCTGTTATTGACCATAAATTGCAATTGAATCACGGAATGGCCAGGGTTGGAAGGGACCTTGAGGGTCATGAATCTCCAACCCCCGTGCCACATGCAGGGCCACCAACCTCCCCATTGAATGCTAGACCAAATTGGGGTTTTAAATCTGCATCAGTCTGTTTTCATAGATGCCGTTTGAGGTTGCAGTAAACTTCACTTTCTAATGTTATTTTAGAAAGATCTGTGCTATTCTCATGAGTCTGTCCTTGCTTGTGCCTCCTCTAATGCTGACGCAGTGACTGTGCTTGGCTAGCAGCTTTTTGTGTGCCCATGGGCTGCAGTTTGTAGGCATGAAACCCTACAGCCGTTGTGCACGCAGCACAACACACAAATGAAGCCTTGTTGCTCTTTCCTTGCCTTTCTCATGATACTTACTACCACTCTGATCCTCATCCCCTGTTCTTCAGTTGCTTGTTTTGCTGTTTTAATACCTCTTGTTGAAGCATCTTGAAGTGTCCTGGGTCCCTGTTTTGATGTTTCTCTGCCGTGAGGTTTCACCTACTGAGTGAGGATGGCTGGAGGTCAGGAGGAGCTCTGATGGGACTGAAAAGCCCTTGCTGACTGTCCCTCCTTGCCTCTCCTGTAGCCTCTCCATACAACCGCTGCAAAGGAAGTATCTACCTGGTGTTTGACTTCTGTGAGCACGACCTGGCTGGCCTTCTCAGCAACACCCACGTCAAGTTCACGCTCTCAGAGATCAAGAAAGTGATGCAGATGCTATTGAATGGACTTTATTACATCCACAGGAACAAGGTAACGGGCCAGATCTGTGCTGTGGTCTGAGGTGTCGCACTGCAGATTGGAGGGAAGTTCTACTTTGTCCTTCATCTCCCGATTCCGAGCGCCCTGCTGGCACCCGGGTGCCCAAGGAGGCGATAACTCGGTGGCTTAACTTCTTGATGTCTGTCCTTGCACAGATCTTGCATCGAGACATGAAAGCTGCCAACGTTCTGATCACGCGGGACGGAGTCCTGAAGCTGGCAGACTTTGGGCTGGCTCGAGCTTTCAGCCTGGCTAAGAACAGCCAGCCGAATCGCTACACCAACCGTGTTGTGACCCTGTGGTATCGGCCACCAGAGCTGCTGCTAGGTAGGAGGTGATGGGTGCTGCTGGCTTCTCCTCCCCTCACCTCATCCCAGGTGACTTACAGAGCACCTCTGTTTAGGGGAGCGGGACTACGGGCCCCCCATTGACCTCTGGGGTGGAGGCTGCATCATGGCAGAGATGTGGACCCGCAGCCCCATCATGCAGGGGAACACGGAGCAGCACCAGCTCACCCTCATTAGCCAGCTCTGCGGATCCATCACGCCAGAGGTGAGGGTGAGAGTGTGGGCAGGCTGTGGGACCTGCAGTGCAGCAGTGAGGGCAGGGGCTGGCACAAGGCACTTCTAGTCCTCTTCGCTCTCCTGTGTGTGGGCTGTTGTGTGTTCCCAGCACTGGAGTGTGGCTGCTGCTGGCAGTGAGGCTGGGGAGGCTGCTGGGAGCTGGGCGTCCGGCTGAACACTGAGCATCCGTGCTGCTGTGTGTAAACTCCAGCTCTCCCATGACTCACAGCACCTCCTTACACATAAGAGGGTGAATTTGGCCTTTTCTGGGATGACTGAGCAGTATACTTGTTTTTGAGCACTGAGAGAATGCTGGTTGCTCAGAGTGTGAAAGAACAGAGCATGACATGTAGGAATCTGTTCTGTGTTCATCTGAGACACAAACGCCAAACATCCTCTGTCCTTCTGGTTTTTGTTTGTTTCGAGTGCTTTGCCTTCTTCACCTTGGAAAGCCTCTTTAGTTCTGGCTTGTGCTTTGTGGTTTCAACTCAGCTCTTGTGTGAGCTCTCAGCTCTTTCTCAGTTTCTTATTCCAGGGAAGTCTGCCCTGCCCTCTGGTGGGGGATTGAGCTGGGAGAGATCTTGGCCAGGGCTGTAATTACTCGGGTGAGATGGGCAGGTGGTTTTGCACACAATGTGGAGGATGATGCCTCTGTTACTTACACCAGAGGTGCTTCCTTTTGTGCCCAAGCACTTGCTGCTCTTATCTCTCCCAGACTGAGGTTGATATAAGAGCAGGTGATTGCAGCAGGCTGTAGTTTCCTAGAATAAAAGGTGCTGCATACATCCAGCTTGTTATTTAGCAAAGAGTTTTGCCCTTGGCCCTTGTGGATATTGGAGTTGGCCCAAGCCAGCTAGTGTTCTCCAATAGATTTTTTTGTGTGTGTGAAAATCAGAAATCCTGGAGTATCTTCAGGAGTGCCACGCCATGTGCTGTTCCCACAGCAGGAGGATTCTGTCCTGACTTGTCTGCATGTCTTTAGGCCTTAGTGCACTCCTTATTGCCTTCTTTGTGCTGTGGGAACGAGGTTTGCTGACTGGGAGTTATAAAATGGTGTTGTTCGCTCCGCAAGCCTCGCGCTGGTTTGCCTGAGGGTGTCAGGGAGCGCTCAAGCCACTGCTGATGCTATCTTCTCCCAACCTCTCCGTCCTGACCTTTCAGGTCTGGCCGAATGTGGATAAGTATGAGCTGTACCAGAAGCTGGAGCTCCCCAAGGGCCAGAAGCGCAAGGTGAAGGATCGCCTGAAGGCCTACGTCAAGGACCCCTATGCACTCGACCTCATCGACAAGCTGCTGGTGCTGGACCCGGCCCAACGCATCGACAGCGATGATGCGCTGAACCACGACTTCTTCTGGTCAGACCCCATGCCCTCGGACCTCAAAAACATGCTGTCCACCCACAACCAGTCCATGTTCGAGTACCTGGCCCCGCCGCGCAGGAGGGGTGGGCACATGCCCCAGCAGCCAGCAAACCAGGGCAGGAATCCTGCGGCTACCAACCAGACTGAGTTTGACAGGGTGTTTTGAGCGGGGTCCTGGCTGGGCTGCTCTGCGGGATGTGTTGAGCAGGGGCATCTCAGCAGGGTCTCTCTCTCTCTGATCAGGGACTTCCTTCAAGGCCAAGTGCCTGGTGGCTTTACCTGAGCCCTCCCCTCGCCTTGTGCAGCAGCTCTGCCACCAAGGAGCTGCGGGGGGCAGCTGTGTGTGTGTGAGTGTGAGTGGGGAAGTGATGCCTACGAGCCCGCAGCTGTTTCCCTGTGGCTTTGGCACAGCCCGTGTCCCCATGGAGCAGTCCATATTGATTATGTTAATCTTGTGAATCGATTGCTATGGATCTGATGATGGAGAAGCTGGCTCCGTCAGCGCTGGGGTTTGCTGCGGGGAGCCCTGCTGGGAGCTGTCTGCAGCTCTCATTTGGTGTTAGCTCCTGTACTGCGTATCCTCTGAGCACCCAGGTGTTGGTGTAGGATGCTGCAGCTGCTTCTGAGTAATGTGGGGAAAGCAGAGTGGCTCCAGGCTTAATGACCAACTCTTGCTCCAGCCTTGAAGGGGACTTACTGGGCCGGCCATGCTGATGGAACTGGTTGCTCCATACATCCAGGATTTACAGTAGGAATTAGCACTCAGTGTGCTTTCTTGGCTCTGGAGTGCAATTAAGTTCTTTGTGGGGCACACCCAGACAGCTGCCTGCTTGCTCCCCATAGTGCTGATGATGGAGCTGGAGTTGCTGTACTCAGGCTGTGCTCTGGCCTTTGCTTGGAAGCAGCCCCCTGTCCTTGCAGTGCTTCACAGCATGCTTGTGCTGGAGCTGCAAGGGCCGCTCTGCTTACAAACACTCCTGTGTGCATTCCTCTGTCCTGGAGCCATTTGTGTGCAGTCTGGAGCAGGACTGCTGCCTTCCCCGGGGACCAGGTGCACACCGGGCACTGCTGGAGCACTGGTGCAGAGCAAGAGCTCCTTCCCACCTTGTCTTCCATGACTGACCTCCAGCTGGAGCTGGCTGCCTTTTCCCAAGCCACACGAATCCCCAGACTTTCCAATGAGCGACGTGTACAAAATGCAGGGGGTTATAACCTTTGCCATTTGATAAGTTGTCCGTTAACCAGGAGGTAGCAGAGCAGCTCCGCACGCACGGCAGCGGGCATTGGACTGGTGTGAGAGCAGTGGATAAGGATGATAAAGGACACCTATAAGGTAAATCTGACATGGTGGAGGGCTCTGGAATAGCGCCTGGGTGCGGAGGGGACTTGATGTGTCTTTTTTTCTTCTTCTTTTTTTTTTTTTTTTTGGACAAATGAAGTTGGTCGCAAGCAATAAGCCAGATTGCTCTGTCAGTTGTGAATAAACACGGTGCCGTTCCAAAGCGCTGCTTCCTTTCCCCTGCGTGTGGACGTGCCGCTGCAGCCGGCTGCGGGGAGGGATGCGGCGGAGGGGGACGCGTGGCTCCGCTCCGCTTTTGCTGCGGTGCGGCGGGATGGGGCCGCGGGGCGACTCCGTGCGGGGATGGGGGAGGGGATCGGAGGGACGCCCTCAGCGCCCCGCGTGGCGCCGCTCCTTTTTGAGCCGCCCCGCCGCCCCTCTCCGTCACGTCTCCCGCTCCGACGTGGCGGCGCTTTGCCCTTTCCAAAGATGGCGGCGGGGCGGGGCTGCGGCCTCTGGGACGGCGGCACGCGCGGAGTGCGGGCGGTGCGGGGCGGCGCGGAGCGATGGTGGCGCGGGGGCTGCGCGCGCTGCGCGGGGCGCTGCGGGGAGCGGCGGGGAGCGGCGGGAGGCGGCTCAGCACGCGCCCTGCCCGCGTCCCTGCGGCGGACTATCAGGTAGTTGGAGCCGGGGGAGGCTGCGGGAGGGACGGGGTGCGGAGTCGGGCCGGAAGGGAGCGGGGTGCGGGGTCGGGGGCCGCTCCGAGCCGGAGTTCTGCGGGAGGGGAGCGGCGGCGGGGCGTCCGGCTGCGCTCCGGTAACGGTGAGCGCGGGCCGGGGGGAGAACCGCGGTGCGGGGCTGTGCAGTGCGGGTGCGGCACGTGGGCTCCCCTGGGGGCCGCCTCGGCGACAGGAGGTCGGTGCCCTCCGCGCTCACGCCGCAGCGGGCGCGGGGCCGAGACCGCCGTGATGGGCGCCGCAGCCGCCGCTTCCTTCCAGGATGCCATCCGCACGTTGAACACGCTGCAGACAAACGCCAGTTACCTGGAGCAGGTGAAGCGGGAACGCGGAGACCCCCGGGCCCAGCTGGAGGCCATGCGGGGCTTTTTGGAGAGGAGCGGGCTGCAGGTGAGCCCACGGGTCCCGCTGTGGCATCTGTGTCCCCGCACGTGTGCGGCTCCCCACGTGACACGCGGCGCTCACCCTGCAGGTCGAGGACCTGGATCGCCTGAACATCATCCACGTCACGGGGACGAAGGGCAAGGTGAGTGGGAGTGCGTGCTGGGGGTCGTGGAGGGGACACGCTGCCGTTCTGCTTTCCCCTCCCCCCATTGCTGTGCTGATGTCGCTGCGTCCCCAGGGCTCAGCCTGTGCCTTCACCGAGCGCATCCTGCGTGGCTATGGGCTGCGGACTGGCTTCTACAGGTGGGCAGTGGGCGCTGGGGGGGGGCTGTGGGGGTGAGCTGGGGCTGAACGTGCCCCAACATCCTGCCCCCCCAGCTCCCCCCACTTGGTGCAGGTGCGCGAGCGGATCCGTATCAATGGGCAGCCGCTGAGCAAGGAGCTGTTCAGCAAGTACTTCTGGCTGGTGTACCGCCGGCTGTGGGACACTAAGGTGGGGTGTGGGGTGTCCCGGGGCTCATTGCGGTGTGGGGAGCCCCCGCAGCCCCCCCTGATGCCCCCATCCCACAGGACGAGGCGCAGGCCAACATGCCGGCGTATTTCCGCTTCCTCACCATCATGGCCTTCCATGTCTTCCTGCAGGAGAAGGTGGGTTGGTGTGATGCTGGGAAGGGCTGCCTGGCGGTGGCAGGGTCAGTGTCCCCGTGGAGGTGTGGTGCCGAGTGATGGGGTCTGTAGGGATGGGTTGGAGTCAGACCTGGGGATCTGAGAGCTCTTTTCCAGCTGGAACTGTTCTGTGCACACAGGTTGACCTGGCGGTGGTGGAGGTGGGCATCGGTGGTGCCTTTGACTGCACCAACATCGTCAGGTAGGAGCGGGTTGGGCTCTGCACCCTCTGTGCCATCCCTGTGTCACCGCCGTGCTCACGCTGTGTCCCCAGGACACCAGTGGTGTGCGGCGTCTCCTCGTTGGGCATCGACCACACCAGCATCCTGGGGGACACTGTGGAGAAAATCGCTTGGCAGAAAGGTGGCATTTTTAAGGTAGGAAGAAGGCCTCACATCCCATTCCAGCCCTGTGTCTGGATCCTAACCACCCATCTTCCGCAGCCTGGCGTGCCAGCGTTCACAGTGCCGCAGCCCGAGCAACCGCTGGAAGTGCTCCGGGACCGGGCGCGGGAGTGTGGGGTGAGCTCAGGGGACAGCGTGGGGCTGAGCCTTGGGATGGGGGGCTTCCATGGGTCTGGGCTCAGCCTCCTGTCCTCACAGTGCCCGCTGTACCTCTGCCCCGAACTGGATGCCTTTGAGGCGGGGACGCGGGTGCTGGAGCTGGGGCTGGCGGGGAGCCACCAGCGCTCCAATGCTGCTCTGGCTCTGCAGCTCTCACGGACGTGGCTGCAGCGGCGCGGTTACGAGGGTAAGGCTCCACATGGGGCTGGGAGGGCACGGCCTGGGGGTTGCTATCATGGCTCACAATGTGCCACCCCCAGCAGGTACCGATGTGCTGCAGGACGTGCTGCCCGGAGCGGAGCTGTCGGCACAGCGCTCGGTGCCACTGGCACCCACGTTTTGCCCCAGTGATGCCATGATCCAAGGTGCAGTAGGGCAGTGTGGGGCTGTGCTTGACTGTGATCCCCCTGCGGTGACGTCCTGGTGCTGGGGGTGGCAGGATGCAGCCATGCTTTGTGCCTTTCCCTCCAGGACTGCGGGACACAGAGTGGCTGGGCCGTACCCAGGTGCTGCCGCATGGCCCTGTGACGTGGTACATCGATGGGGCTCACACCACCAGCAGCATCCAAGCCTGCGTACGCTGGTTTCGCCAGGCAGCCCTCAATGAGGACAAACCCCAGGAGTAAGGAGGGGACGTGGGGAGGGGGTCAAGGATAACGGGGCGTAGGCAGCACCCATCCACCCCTTGTCCCTATAGTGGCTCTGAGGTACGGGTGCTGCTCTTCAATGCTACGGGGGACCGGGACACAGCTGCACTACTGAAGCTACTGCTGGTGAGGTTTTGGGGTGCTTGTGGGGGAGGTGCTGTCCTTGGGCCCCACTTTGCTGCGGGTGCTGGGAGCCATATGGTGGAGCTGCTGTCCATCTGTCCATCCATCTGTCTGTCCTTCTGTCCTGTTGTCTCCCAGCTCAATGCCCCCCTCCTTTCCAAGGGGTTCACAGCCGCAGCTGCAGTCCTAACACTCCCACCAAGTCCTGCTGGGCTGGGACAGGTCCTGGTGGCATCCTGGTAGCATTGTGATAGTGGGGGGGCTGTCCTGGGAATTTCTGTGTCCCCCACCCCGCTGATCTCCCTTCTCCCCACAGCCCTGCCACTTTGACTACGCTGTTTTCTGCCCCAACTTCACAGAGGTGTCGGTGGCTACTAGCGCAGGTGAGTACCGGGCTCTGGTGGTGGTCCCTCCACCCCAACCCCACCCCTGAACCCGCCCCCGTCCCCCCCTGCAGACCAACAAAACTTCAACGTGACACTGGAGAACGCCCTCACACGCTGTGTGGAGAACCAGAAGACGTGGACGCGGCTGATGGAGGAGAAGGGGGGCCCCTGGCTGCCAGCCCCCCTGGAGGTGGGGGGGCTGCTGCAACCGGACCCCCTGCGTGAAGCCCTGCTCCTGGTGCCCCCGGCCGAGCGGCCGCTCAATTCCACCTCCCTCGTCTTCCCCTGCATCTCCCACGCGCTGCAGTGGATCGCGCAGGGCCGGGATCCCCACCTGCCCATCCCTGCCTCCAAGGTGGGGGCTCACCTGCACCCTGTGGCCACCAGCGGGGCCGTTCTGCTGCAGGAGGCGGCCACCATCCGCGTCCTTGTCACTGGCAGCTTGCACCTGGTTGGGGGGGTCCTCAAGCTGTTGGACCCCATGCTGTCCCAGTAGTGGGGATGGGGGCTCTGCACCTCCTTGGACTTGAATGCTTGGAGGCAAATAGGACCCCCCCCGAGCTGGGCTGTCCCTGCTCCTTCTCACCCCAGTGCCTTTTGTTTGTGCCAGCCCAGGGAGAGGCTGTCCCCATCAGGAGGAGGGGACACTTGTGATGAGATGAACTCAAGGTGCCCCCGGGCTCTGGCAGGGGAACTGTGAGTTCCCTGACCCCCCCTCCCCCCCCCCCAGAGCAGGTTTTGGGGATCTGTGGGTGCTCTGTGCCCTAGGTATGAGTGATGCTTCAAGGCTCTGTGCCACTAATTTAATGTAGTCTAGGTTTTTATTATTATTAAGTTTGTAACTTTGACCTGGAGCTGGGCTGAGGGGCCCGGGTTGATGTCTGTGCACTGCCCCGGGCCGAGGGGGCAGAAGCGTGGTGCTGCCTGGCCCCCAGCCCCCATCCCAATAAACCATTTGCTGCTCCCAGTGCTGCCCACTGCCTCCATGGGACAATGCCAGGGGGGGGTCACCCCATCGGGGCTGCACCTGCTGCCCCCCAGCTGCTGCTCAGCGTGCATTTGCACCGCATTATCAGGGAAAGGATAATGCAGGGTCTGTGGGTGCCGGGGTACAAATGCTGCCTAAGTGCCAGGACACATCCTGGAGGCACCCACATTTTGCCCCCAACACTCCCATGTGCTGGGAACCCCCTGGAGGGTGTTGCATGGTGCCCCCCCTTCCCCGCCCTGGGCTGCCTTGGGGGGGGCCAAAGCATTCACTGAATGAGTAAGGGTGGCCCCGGGGGCAGCGTGGGGCCATGGCCCCCTCCGGGCTCAGCCTGAGGTTTGGGGTAGAAAAAGGCTTTTATGGAGGCTGAGCCGGTGGTGGCGGTGGGGTGATGGCCGAGGGGGGGGCCGAGGGGGTCAGGCCATGCTGCTGGTGGAGCAGGGGGTGCTCTGGGTGCTGCCGATGCTGTGGTTGGTGCTGCTGCTCTCCGAGGCTGGCGCCGTGGTGGACACCGGCTGCAGTTTGGAGATGGGACCTGCATTACGCCGCCGGTCCAGGGAGGGAGTAGGAAGTGGGGGGGGGGGGTGGAAAAGAAAAATGATGTAGGGCCAAAAAACAAAACTCGGCGCCGGCAGGGCCGGCAGGGGGTGGCTCATCCTGGACGTGACCTTTCCAGCCCTGATAAGGGACCCGTCCCTGGCGCAGGGCTCGTGCTCCCCAGCCAGCACAGCTCTGCACCCCCTCCCCGCCCCCGGTAAGATGAGGGATGGCGATGGGCTTTGTGGGGACCTTGGGGACTGCAGCTGGCTCGCACTCATGAGATGCCTCGGCCAAAAGGGATGTCTGGGTGATAGCAACATGACAGCCCCCCTCCCAGGGACATGCGGGAGGGTTGGGAATGGGGAGGAGGATGGCTTTCCCAGCAATAGGACGTGTGTGTGGGCCCCCCCAATTCCCCCCGAGAGATACTCACGAGTATGTGAGTAGATATACCAGAGCCCAGCAGTGAGGAGTGCGCCGATGAGGAAGGCTCCAAAGGTGATGCCCAGCACAGCGGACAGCCCCAGCCCTTGATCTGCAGTGGGATGAGGCCATCAGTGTTGGGCTACCTTCCCCAGACCCAGCAGTGTCCCCCCACCCTGCCCCGTGTCCCCAGCTCACTGTTAGGTGGCCGCCAGACGTCTTTCACCTTCACCTCCAAAACCTTCTCGAAGATGGTGTTGTTCTGCCAGGCAGAGGGTTGGGATGAGCGTGGGGATATTCCAGCCCAAGCGCCACCATCCCATGGGGATGTGGTTCACTGCCCTGTGCCCAAGGACTTTGGGGACCAAGGATGCTGTTCCCAGCTTGGTGGTAAGCCCACTGATATGCCTAGGAGGGGGACCGTGGTGCCAGATGGGGGTGATGCTGACCTGCAGCCCAGCCTTGCACGTGAGGGTGGCAGAGAAGGGGACGTGCCTGCCCTCAGGGATGGCGTATGTGAAGCGGAAGCGCCAGACCTTCCTGGTCCAGTTGCTGGGGGGTTCGTCCAGCATGGCCACGCTGGAACTTTTGGCCTTGTTGCCCTGCACCAGCAGCATTGGCTCCATACCAGGGGCCATCAGATAGCATTCCTTGAGCTGCAGGTCGGCCAGGTAGTCCTCCAAGTGCATGGATGCCTGCATGGGGACAGGGTGACCATTAGGGATGCCGTCACCCTACGGTGCGGTCCCCACCCTGGTGCCTGGACCCTATGCACTGGTACCTGCACAAACACCTCCTTGTTGACCTCCAGCTCTGTCTGTGGTACCTTGAAGTCGGCAGTGGGGAAGAGGCGCAGGAAGAGCTCCCGTGGGATCGGACACTGAAAGGCCACCTGCAAGTAGGGATGGCGTCAGCCACTACTCTGTCACCCCCAGTTGGTGACACAGCCACCAACACTTACCCGCACGCTCCGGAGCACGGAGCCCTTGGACAGGCTGAGGATGAGCTGTGAGGAGAGGAGGAAGGTTCAGTCAGCCCGGCCATAGAGGTGTCCCCACGAGCATCTCCACTGCTGGGGTCTCCCCACAGGGTTGGGGTGGCTCTGGGGTCTCCCCATCAGCACCACAGCCAGCTGTGCTCACCTCATTTTTGGCATGGCCGTGGCTCTCCACCAAGGTGCCGCAGCCACTGAGCAGGGTGTGCAGCATGAAGTGCGTGGCGTTCTTCTCTGCCTGGCAGCTGATGTCCCGCAGGGTGATGTTCACCACGTCCTTGATGGGCTACAATAAAGGCAACAATCGTGCCCAACTCCCTCTGGCGTGCCCGGCCAGCCCTCCTCTCACCTCTCAGCACCTGGAGCAGGTGCCCTCACCTCCAGGTGGGACCTGGCGATGACGATTTCCATGGTGTCATCTGTGCACTTCCAGGGCCTGAGCGTGAGGAGCAGCGTGCTGGATATGAGGTCAGGGCTCAGGGTTGATGAGATGGGCACCGTGGGCAGCTTCCTCGGCACCTCTGCAGGGAGAAGGCATGGGGGTCTGAGTGAGGACCCCCCCCTTAAGCTCCTTGACCCCATTCATGCGCTGTGGACTGACCACGCTCGTGGATCTTCAGTGTGATGTGGGGGCTGATGGGGATGACGGAGTAGGAGGCGATGATGCTGTAGTTCTTCTCATAGGCTTTGGTGATGAGGCCCTGCTCTGTGTCGGGCAGCAGCTCCCCTTTCTGCGGCCCCATAGGGATGTGCAGGATCTTGTAGGTGCCGGAGGTCTGCAGGGATGGTGCAGAAGGGAGTGAGAGGAGACAGGGATTGGGGCAGCAGTGGGAAAGTGCCGCGAGGGCCGTACCAGGAAATTGAGGCTGCAGTTGTTCAGCATCAGGAGCCAGGCGAGGTTGGCTGGGCCCTGCAGGAGGAGGATCTGGTTGTTGGGCTGCTGTTCGGGGCAGCTCAGGGTCAGGTTCACCTCCGTGATGGGCAAGCTGCAAAGCCACAAGACACTCTCAGTCCAGCATTAGGCCCCTCTTGGGATGCCCACAAGAGATCCTGGCCTCCTCCCCAGTACCTGGGCTTGTGCAGAAGCTGGACAATGTGGGCAGCCCTGGCACTGTGGGCACTGCTGCTGGTACAGCCCTTCACCTCACGGAAAAGGACCTCAGCCTCGAGGTGCGGCGTGGCATCAAAGTCCGTCTGGGGAACGCAGTTCAGAGGGCTGCTGCTATCTGCAGGGAAGGCAGGCAGTGCTGGTGGCCACCAAAACAGCACCACTGTCGTGGTTTTATGCGACAACCACGCTCAGGGTCTCCCAGCATCGCCCCGCATGTTTCCAGCATAGTGGAGCAGGAGGAGTGCTGTGCTTATCTCATCCCCCCAGTGCCACCCAGCCCCCCACCAGCCCCCTACCCCCACTAGCAGCCCCCCACCCCTCTCCCTGTGTCTCGCCGCACTTTCGCCCAGGTGGAGGTGGATCCTCTGTGGGTCCTTCAGCTCGCTGTAGGATGTGATGCCCCTATAGGTGTTCTGCACCCACTCCAGCAGATGTCCCTTGGCAGCCTCTGGCAGCTCCGTACCTTGCACCTTGGGGCTCAGAGAGGCGTCCTGCAGGTGAGCAGCACAAGGAGCTGAGGCAGAGCAGGGCACACAGATGCATCCCTCTCTGCCACCCGGGAAACACAGGACCCCCACTCCTGGTGTGTGCGGTGCTGCTCTGAGCCCAGGTGGATTGGCATCTCCAGAGCACTGACTGCATTGCGCTCGGGGTCACACTGCAGGGATTTTAGGTGGCCGGCAGCACGCGAGGAGCTCGGCCCACTTTATTATTAGCCGCAAACAAAGCAGGAGGTTTATTTTGCTAACAAAGCTCCCGGCCCCGGCTCAGCTCGCTGGAGCCAAACCCCATCGCTGACCTTCCTCCCGGCAGCCGGAGGAAACAGGAGCTTTTTCAAGCACCATGCGTCATTCGCTGCCTGGCCTGCCCCATGCTCAGATCTGCTGCCAGCAGCCAGCTGTCCCCCAGCTGTGAGCATCGTCCCCTAGAGGGGGGACTCAAGCACCCCAGGGGCAACCCCAGGCCCTCCAACCCCTCCCTTGGGTCTGCTCACAGTGCGGATGAGGAGGTCCTGGCACGGGGAGGTGATGCTGGCTGAGCACTGCGGGCACTGGAGGATGAGCACTGCTTGCCGGGTGCAGACATCAGCTTGTGGTATGATGGACACATTCAGCATGGGCACAGGGGTCTGCAGGGAACAAGAAGAGAATCAGCACTGCCTATGGCTGGGACTGACCCCCATGCCATGTCCCCAGTGGGAGAGCAGAGAGGTACATCGAGCTGGCCCCAAACATGAGCTGTGTGGGAGGCAGCAAGGATGGGAGATTTGGCCTTGGGGCAGCTGGAGGGATGCAGGGGTGCCACTTGGGTGTATGCACACACCAGAGTGTGACAGACCACTCTGGCTAACCCCTAATGGCCCACACTGGGGAGGAGCATCCTCATGTTGTGGCCCTTCATAGGGGTCAGAGCACCAGGGAGCGGGTGCTGTGCACCAGGCAGCAAGGTGTCACCCAGTGGAGACCGGAGCATCCCCACAGAGCAGCCCAGGACATCCCTGCACCACGGCCTGGAGCATCCCCACATTGCAATTGGTGCATCCTCACCCCATGCAGCAGAGCATCCTCATGCTGGGTACCAGGATGTGCCCTCCTGTCTCTCCCAGCCCCATCCTGACACTGTGGCACCACTGCACTCCCAGTACAAAGCAAACAGCAGCAGCACTGCGTGCAGGCGGCCGGCTGTGACCCCATAGAGCTGTGCGGGTGGCCGGGGACCCCGGGTGGCCCCGTGGCGGCAGGAGGAGCCGCGCTGGTTTTCCTGCCGCGTGTTTTGCGGCGCTCCATTGTTTCGCCCCCGCCGAGTGCAGGGAGATGGAGGAGCTGGAGGCTGCGTCTCGCCCTCCGCGGCCTTTTTTTAGGTTTTTTCTTTTTGGTGTTGTTGTGTCGTGTTGGTTTTTTTTTTTTTTTT